TAGCTCCTGAATATCCATATTTAAGCTGTATTCAGTGCTTCCCTGTATATGAGACAATTCTGCATGCACAAGCTCAGTTAAATGAAACATTTGCATTTTGCCAAACAAGGATGACATTTTACTGATTCTTACAGCTTCCAAACCGATTTGCTTGTCTCTGGAGGGAGTCTTTATGAAAGGAAAAAAACCTTTGCAAATGTATTATAACTTTTTCTGATGAAACAGAATAATTAGAGCCCCCAGCATGATCTAAGTAGTCTCTCTAGCCAAAGCAGGGCCTCTGGAGCCTTCAGAGTTCCTATTGGAGGACTGGGGTTTGTGCAGCGGGCACTGGAAGTGGCACCCACAGTAGCAAAAACTGGGTGTGCCTAAATTGTTTACGGTGCGTGTCTTAAAAGGGGACTTAGACAGGAACTTTAAAAATAAAAAAGGGTGCCCAGGCTGGCTTTTTATTGCAGAAGACATACTATGTCTGTTCTGAAATAAATGACTCTTACCTGCCTATTTTTCACATGTTTTTTGACATATGCCGGGAAGAATGAACTCCCAGTAGTTACGCCACCCTGGCACGGCCAATCAAGTTGCCCGAAGATCCCACACCAGAAAGAAGATCAGGCAAAGATGTTGGCACTGACAAGGAAGCTTGTGAATGTCATATTGCTGGAGGGGAGGTGAGTATAGTTCCACTTTAAGAATGCACACAGTGAAAAAGATGTTAAGCAGTCACAAAACATTTTCCAGTGCACTTAGCATGTATGAACGACGCCAAGAGTGAATTTTTGCAAGAAAAGTGTACAAGCAGACATAATAACTGTGTTTATACATAGTTACATAGTTACATAGTTACATAGTATTTGAGGTTGAATAAAGACATTAGTCCATCAAGTCCAACCTATTAGGATCTCATTCTAGGAGTACCTGTACCCCTGTATATTACGGTCCCTTAAGAAATCGTCCAAAAGTTTCTTGAACAATTCCACATTCTTTGCTGAAATCACCGCCTGTGGCAGTGAGTTCCAGACCCTAACTGATCTTACTGTGAAGAACCCCCTTCGCCCCTTGTGCTGGAATTTTTTTTCCACCAATTTTAGGTGGTGGCCTCTAGTTTTTGTAACGGAGTTAATTTTAAACAGTTTATCGCTAATGTTGCTGCCACCATTGAACATTTTGTACATGGAGATCATATCCCCCCTTAATCTCCTCACCTCCAATGTGAACATGTTTAAATTTAGTAGCCTTGTCTCGTAGCTCTGGTCCTCCATACCCCTAATTAGTTTGGTTGCCCTCCGCTGGACTTTTTCCAACTCAAGGACATCTTTTCTTAGTACTGGTGACCAGAACTGGACCGCGTACTCCAGATGAGGTCGAACCAATGATCTATAAAGTGGCAAAATTATAGACTTGTCCCTGCAATACATCCCCTTTTTAATACAGGACAAGACCCTGTTACATAAAAACAAATACTAAAATAACACCAGGATAAAACAAATACTACAATTTATACCCAGTCTACAGGACAAGAGAAGTGGTACTGTGCAGAGACCATATATACAGAATAAGAACACATACTGAGAATTACATCCAGCATACAGAAGATGTAAAGCAGTACTGTGTCATAGTTCCATCCAAAAAAAACAGAAACAGAGAACTAATTCCAGCATGTATAACAAAAGAAGTTGTTCTATACAATGTTTATATGTAAATGTCAAACATTTATATAAATGTACCTAATTGTAACTAACATTCAAAATACCCACTTACTGCATTATACGCATATGAACATACTAGGACTGTCTTGCAAGATCACCTGGCAACTATAGAGGGGGTGGGGCTGGGTGAGTTGAATGAGAATGACATTTGTACATCCTGCAGAGTGACAGGATGAGAGGGGTAAAAGCAGGGGGACTCCCTGGATTATAGGGTGATGTGACATGGCTGTAAATAGGTATGCAGAACAAACATTCTGATCACAGGCTGCATGTTTGTTCTGGATCTGTGACCCGTAAAATGAAGATAGAGAGAGGGATAGGTGTCTCGCCCTTTCAAGTAAGGGTCACAGTGCAGTAAAATAGCTTTCAGTACTGGGAGATTGGCGCTGTTAGTATCCAGGGCAGAGCTACTGGGGAAGACGGCAAAACCCTACCCTAAGGGCCTGTTCACACCATTGCGGCCGGCTCAGTATTTTGTGGGGCCGGAGAGCCCTCCTAACGCAATGCGATCGCCCGCACGGGATCGCAGGGCACATTGTGCCTGTAGTGCGGTCCGGCGCGGTGTGGTCAAAATGCTGCACTATTGCACTATTTTGACCGCATCGGACCGGACCGCAGGGACAATGTGCCTTGCGATCCCATGCGGGCGATCGCATTGTGGCCGGAGGGCGTGGCTATGGCGCCAATAACTTCAATGGCCAGCCACGGCCCCTCAGGCTCCACGAAATACTGAGCCGGCCGGAACGCACTGCAAATGGTGTGAGCAGGCCCTAAATCTCCCCACCATAGTCCTTCCTGTAGCTTTAACACTAACCCTCCCTGTAACCCTGACACTTACTCTCCTCTTAACACTAACGCTTGCTGTAACCCTAACGCTCCCTGTAACCGTAACGCTTCCTGTAACCCTAACACTAATGCTCCCTGTACCCTTATAACTAACCCTACCTGTACACCCACCATTAACCTTCACACTAACCCTCCCTGTATCCTTAACACTAATGTGTCCTGTAACCCTAACACTATCCTTCCCTCACAAACCACTGATCTCTCAGCTAGCGGTCTTTTCCCTGCAGAGAGTAGTGACTGTCATTCACCGCTCCCTGCAGGTATTCCCCCTCCCCTCTCCCTGTTCGTCCAGTGCTCATTGGAGGGACAGACAGGAGAGGGGACGGGCACAACTGACTCTGGCTCTAGGGAGGCAAAACCGGGTGTCAATCAGGTAGGGCTGCAGCTAACGATTATTTTCATAATCGATTAGTTAGCCGATTATTACGTTCGATTAATCGGTTAATTGGATAAACAAAAAAGGCTCCAGTGATGGGACTACTAGTTTCTATTGAGATTGTAGTCCATCACGGGAGCAAGCTTGGCACGGTGGAAGTAAAAAAAAAGTGTGGTGTGCAATATAGTACATTATACAGCGGCGCAGTGCAGAATACCAGAAGCTCTAGAGGAATGTAGCAATAGTACATTATACTATAATGTACTATTGCTGGGATTTGTAGTCCTCTGTAGCTGGCTTTATTCTGCATTGCGCTGTATGTAATGTATTATTGCTGCGATTTGTAGTCCTCTATAGCTGGTGGTATTCTGGAGTGCGCTGTAGAATGATTATACGGCACAATGCAGATTACCAGCAGCTAGAGAGGAATACAGCAAGTGCCAGCAATAGTACATTATACTATACTATTATGTATATAATGTACTATTGCTGGGATCTGATGTATTCCTCTATAGCTGGCGTTATTCTGCATTGCGCTGTTTATAATGTATTATTGTTGGGATTTGTAGTCCTCTATAGCTGGTGGTATTCTGCAGTGCGCTGTATAATGATTATACGGCGAAATGCAGAATACCAGCAGCTATATAGGAATACAACAAATCCCAGCAATAGAACATTATACTATAATGTACTATTGCTGGGATTCGTAGTCCTCTGTAACTGCTGGTATTCTGTAACTGCGAGGCTTCAGTCATTCTACAAATGACAGAAATGACGAATGAAAACAAATCCGAATTTCCGAAAACAAATCTAAAATTTCAGACAAAATTTGTTAGCGGTAATCTGTACGAATATTCGTTTCTGGATGAATATTCGTTGCAACAAAGTGACAGACAAAAGAAAAAAAAATTACTTTTGTTTGTACAGTCTGCAGAATCTTTTGTCTGTCACTTTGTTGCAACGAATATTCATCCAGAAACGAATATTCGTACAGATTACCGCTAACAAATTTCTTCCGAATCCAAATCCCAAAACGAATTCACTTTCGGACCCTAATCCCGAAAAACTAAACAATGTAAAATCCGAATGTAAGCAGAACGAAACTAAATACATTTTTGCCCGGTGCACATGTCTACTAACAATATTGTCAGAATCCTCCCCGGCTGCAGCGTGGCTCTGCGCTGTTAGCATATAGCGGGCATCAGTTCGCTATGTGCTGAGTTTGGGTAACAGGAGGACATTAGCAAATGTGCTCCTTTAAACCTCTAAATGCTCATTTTGGTCTAGGCGGGGATGGAAAAAAGAGACAATATACTTGCCCAATCCTCAGTCCTGTGGAGGTGAGCAATCACCCTCTCTCTGCTCCGGTGGTGGAATGTCCCTCAGCGTCCTTAGACGTGGTGATGAGCTCACAGGTACTTACAACACCGTAGCTCCATGGGAAAAGAGGCTGCGGGGACTAGGGTTGCCACCTGTCCCATATTCACCTGGACAGTCCGGGTTTCCTGTATGTGCTGTGGCTGGGTTTCAGCCTGGCACATACAGGACTCAAAACCCGGACTGACCAGGTGAATCCGGGACAGGTGGCAACTCTAGCGGGGACTGGTCTAGCTGCAATGCAGGACTGAGGATCAGGTGAGTATATCTTTTTTATTTTAGTCCCTAGACCAAAATTAGCAATTAACCCCCTGCAATAAACCCACTGCAAGGGTTAATTTGTATAAATCCCTGCAGTTCCCCTTTAAGAGCTAAGCGGCTCCCATTCCAGACAGTGAAGAAGTTTGCGGTTGGCAATGATGAATGGATCAGCAGCTTGTCTGTCTTCACCCGCACAGCGCCACCTAGCGGCCGTCCTCACGATGCACTTATAAAGGGATGCCGGGGGTGCCGGTCCTCTCAGCCCAGGCTTACTTCCCACACTCTCCTCCAGAGCTGAGCGGCTCCAGCCTGAGCGGGCAGAGGTGAGGATCCAGCTAACCCTGATCACAGGATGGCAGCGGGCAGCGTACACCACATCTCCGGGTATTAAGGCGCTCACACCTTCCCCGAGCTCTGCTGCCATTATCAGCCTTGTGCCGGCTCATGGAGGACTTGAGTAGCAGCTGATGGGAGAGAGCACGCCGCATGTATGAGCTGCTGATCGCCGGGAGACTACACACAGTCCTCCTTCCAGTGACAGCCGACTGCCCGACCCTCCATCATCACCATGGGGTGAGTGGTCACCTTCTCTTCTATTATATCTCTTACTATACTGCCTCTACAAAGTCATTGCATCCTTTTACTTTATCCCCGATCTGATCTTTGGGGAACTTTACCGATGTGCTCCCCGATAATGAATGGAGACCTGGGATCGGGCTGATCTGTGTGAGCGATCACTGTGCATGCTGTGTGATTCCATAGATCTACTTTTGTATCACATGATGAGCTCGCATACCTTGGAGACTCTTCTCATCACATCCCTATGTCATACCAGCAGAGCTCCATTCCAGTGGCGTAACCAGAGTTATGGGCGCCCGGGGCAGAACATTTTTTAATTCAGTAGAAATGACCCCACAGTACACCCATCTGCTTCCTCTGTGCTTCATGGCACTGGCCTTTAAGGAGGTTCGGGGATCCTAATTGGGTACAGACTCTCGGTCCAGTTAGAAATAATTAATCTCCAGGGGTCAAAAGTGTTTTCGCTGTGCACAGCTACCAAATATTACCAAGTAAGCACTGCTGCTACGCTAAAACAATGACTCAGAGTTTCAGCTCCTTGTGGGACCCAGTTGATTGTGGCAGCAAATATGAGGCTATAGTGTGTATATCTATCTCTATCTATCTATCTATCTACATATACATATAAATTGTATGTTCCTCCCTCCCGTGGTACATGTCATATAACTCCTGAGACACGGAAGTCACTGTGTACACATAATACTGCTACATACTTATTCTTATGATAAATATAAATATATACTGCTTCCTTTTAAGC